TCTACCATAAAAAGTACTCTATTTTTCTAATTTCTAGGATTTTTAAAATAACATTTCTGTAAGTCTGGCACATTAATATTCCCTCAAGCTGTAGCATTTATTTTAGTTTGCATATATATTATTGTTTTAATTTAATGTAATATATTGAGTCTAATAGACTGTTTTACAATAATTAGAATAAAAGATTTTCTTCTAATCAAAGATGAATAACAGCTGTTATCTAGGGGACCACCAAATGTGATTTCAAGATTTCGTTAACTATTACAAATATAATCCTTATATAGAAATTTTAATTTTGTAAAGTAGTGTATAATATTGTAACATTAAATTCTTGTTTTCAAATTCAAAAATGTATTGATCTTCAATGTGCTGTGTTAAATCTTGCTTCTCTGAAACGTTAGAGACAAGATGTCTTCCTTTTTACAGTTTGTAATTTTCACTGTTTTATTCCTGTAAAAAAAAAAAAAGTCATTTGTAACCCATGCAAATAACCGTTTGAACTGTGCTAACTTATCAATTTGGCTATTCAATAAAGTTAATTGAAAGAGCTAACATACTGTGATTAGTTACTTAAATTGGTATGAATAACTTGACAGTCACTGAGTAGTGCTATGTTTTGCACCCAAATTAAGTAAATGGAAAACTATTGCTGAAGGTTCTTTAAACCTGAGTCAGTGTCTGGGAAGTCATGATCCAAATTCTGGATGCTCACTCTTCAAGAACAGCTAGGTTTAAAATTCTAGATTGGGGGCTTCCCTGGTGGCACAGTGGTTGAGAGTCCGCCTGCCAATGCAGCGGACACGAGTTCGTGCCCCGGTGCGGGAAGATCCCACATGCTGTGCAGCGGCTGGGCCCGTGAGCCATGGCTGCTGAGCCTGCGCTTCCGGAGCCTGTGCTCCGCAACGGGAGAGGCCACAACAGTGAGAGGCCCACATACCGCAAAAAATAAAATAAAATAAAAAAAATAAAATTCTAGATTGAAAGGGTTTTCAATTCTTTAATTCTCAATATGTTTAAGATACTACTACACTGTCTTGTGGACCCTTTTGTTACTGATAAGATGCCTACTGTAAGTCTAATTGTTTATTTGAAGATAATCTGTTAGCTTTTAAGATTTTTCTTTTATCCTTAATATTTTATAGTTTTAATACTCTGAGTTTACTGTTTACCCTGCTTGCTTTTCAGAGCATGCTTTAATCTGGAGATCCTTGTCTATCTTCAATTCTGGAAAATTCTCACTTTTAAAATTTTAATTTATTTTTAAAATTTAGGTATAATTGACATATATTTTCTCTTAAAATATTTGCTTCTGTCATTCCCTCTATCCTTTTTTTTACCTTCAGAATTCCTTTTTAAAAAAAATATTTATATTTGTTTATTTTAAAATTTATTTTGGCTGCTCGGGTCTTAGTTGTGGTACACGGGCTCTTTGTTGCGGTATGCAGACTTCTTAGTTGTGGCATGCGTGAGGGATCTAGTTCCTCGACCAGGGATGGAACCCGGGCCCCAGGAGTGCATTGGGAGTGTAGAGTCTTACCCACTGGACCACCAGGGAAGTTTCCAGAATTTCTCTTGTGACTAATTCCTCTGTGACTACATCCAGTCGGAGTTTAATCTCATCTATTGATTTTTATATTTGTATAACTAACTATTTTTGATTAATTTCTGCCTATTTTGTTCAATAATGTATTAAAATTGTTCTATAAAATTCTTTCTGGAGTGAATTCCAATTTTTAATTTGGGTGGCAGAATTTAAATGTTGTATTTCTTCATGTTTGTTAGAATTTGGGTTTCTAGGCTTATTTGATTGGGAGGGTTGTTATTTTCATTTTAGCACATCTCTCTCTGTCCAAGCTTTCCCCCTCGCTGTCTATGGGTTTTCTAGTTGCTTTTTCCCAAAACTAGGGCTCATGGAGGTATTTTAGGGCTCCTGCAGTGATTTGGGGATATCACCATTCCAGTCACCAACAGTGGGAAGTCTAGTTGTTGCCCTCTCTTCTGCCTCTGTTTATTAAGCTGAAGTCCAATAGCAAATGATATTTTGAATATTTTTCAGGGAGGGCAGACCTCAAGCAGTGAGTTTGTACTGTTCATCCCTTTGTCTCACGTGGAGCACTTTCAGGTCCTCTTACACATAGAATGTGCTACCATTGCCAGCTTCTGGATCTGCAGCCCAACAGGCACCTGACTTTAGCTCCACTGTGCTGTTTCTGATACTTTGATCTGCTGAGATGTTTCTCTTGTTTTTGAGGCCAACTATATCTTTTTTTTTCCCTTTATGTTTTTTTAAAAAATATTTATTTATTTATTTGGCTGGATCGGGTCTTAGTTGCGGTGCACGGGATCTTCGTTGCGGTGTGTGGGCTTAGTTGCTCTGTGGCATGTAGGATCCTAGTTCCCTGACCAGGGATTGAACCTGCATCCCCTGCATTGGAAGGCGGATTCTTAACCACTGGGCCACCAGGGAAGTCCCTCCCTTTATGTTTTTAACTGTTACTGATTGCTATGTGTAGTAGAGAGGTGTCCAAGCATGAACTTACTGTCTATGTTTAACCCCAGAATTTGAATTCTACTTTTATTACTTATGACTCAATATGTTCATACATATTTGTCAGTTTGTAGCTACAATTTTTCAATAAACTATTAATATTTAGCCTACCTAAACAATGCTGGGATCAAATAAAAATTATACATAAAACTCATTGAAAATGCCAAGATTTGGCACAAAAGAAAAATTTCTGCAACTACTCAGGTAAATTTAATCTAGTGCTCTCAGTGCTAAGCATGGGGCAAAGTGGTCAATTTTTAAAAATGGAAAAAAAATAATTTTAAAAAATTAAAAAAAATTTTAAAGGAATAAAAAAACGAGACAAAAAAAATAACACAAGAAAAAGAGATGGAGGTGGGCTTGCCCTTGTAAAGTCTATAGTGAGGGAGACAGAAATTAAGACAAGAATTGTTAAGTATGCACGTCATTTAGTAAGGAATCATATACCACTGAGAAGCACAAGGAAATTTAATAACTATGGAAACCCCATAGGGAAATGGTTTCCCAGAAATAAGTAAGCATGTAATACGAAATCTTGACACTTTAAATTCTTACCTGACTCCATCAGCCATCATACATCAACACATCTATCTAAAGAATCAAAATATCCATTTGGTTTCTATATGCTATCTCAAGTGAAAAAAATCTTTTGTCTACCCTGGAACTGTATTTGGTCTTGACTCATCAGGATTTTACCTCATCAAGTTGTGCACATTTATTACTAAATTATTTCAACTGTAGAAGTTTTTAAGGCACAGTCTGGGCCTCAGAGATGTAGATCTGTACAGATATGCAGGGAAACCTTTTCTAATGCTTTAAAATTACTAGCTAGGGCATGTCCCTGAGATTTAGCTATCATCCAATCAAGGGGGAATGTTCAATGTTTATACCTGAGTTCCTTACATTGTTGAACCCAAAAGATAAGTTGCTGTTTGTTTTTACACTTTTTTTCATAATCCTTTGCTGTCTGAGACAGGGTCAGATGACTAACAGTTAAAAACACTATTTTTTTAAAAACACTATGCTTCTATCTAAGCAGGGTTTCACCCACTTGCTGACTTTGAGCAGGCTTCATTTTAGGGGACACACTAGGCTGCCTCACCCCCTGCAGCCTCAGGTATGAACTGGCCATGGCGTCCTCTCAGCAAGGGTTGACAAGGGATTTAATTCCTTCATTCATTTACTCATTCACTTAGTCATTACTGTGCACCAGGGCTGCATTATGACTTTTGTGGGCTGTAGATATTTTGCTTTCGTGGGCTCCTTCCTCTATAAAAGCATATTTAAAATTGTATTTTATGACTGTGTTAGTATGAGAATGACTACAATCCAGGCTGGATTCATCATTATACAAAAATTATTACTACACTTTTCTTCTGATTTAAAAAAAATATTCAAATAAATGAACTTATTTAGAAAACAGACTCACAAAGAAAAACTCATGGTTACCAAAGGGCAAGGGAGGGATAAATTGGGAGTATGGGGTTAACAGATGCACACTTCCATATATAAAAGAGATAAACAGCAAGGGTTTACTGTATAGCACAGGGAACTATATTCAATATCTTGTAACAAACTATAATGTAGAAGAATAATTTAAAAAAACATAGACATGTACATATATATATGTCAATATGTATAACCAGATCACTTTGCTGTACACCTGAAACTAATACAATATTATAAATCAACTATACTTCCATTAAAAAAATTCAAAATAAAACATTTTCTTGTGCCCCTATTGTGGGCCCTCACCATGGCCTAATGGATAAGGCAACCCTGTTAAGCGCTCACACTGTTCTAGGAGTTGCAGCCGTGAACAAAACACATTACTTGTCTTATCGAGCTTACATTTTAGTAAGAAGCAGATAATAAACACAAGTACATTCAGCTTTCGAGTCGGTTATAACTGTTGAGAAAAGACACATAAGGAGAATAAGGAGTGCTGAGAAGGGGTGGCAATTTAAATAGAACGGAAAGGGAAGGCTTCACTGGGAGTGTCTTGAAGAAAGACACGAGGAAAGCCTGGAACGAATCAGGTGTGTATTTGGTAGTAGCACTGCTGAAGATGAGGAATCAGCACCAATAACAAATCCCAACCGCAAGGGTCCCTAAAGCGTCGCTCTCGGAGTTATGCATTCCCGAAGCCTATAAGCGAGGCCGAAGAAGATCACTGGAAACCAGTGCCTGTCGCTGCAATCTCCATTTTGCTTCCTGGCACCAGGTAGGAAGAGTTTATTCCTCGATCCCATACGTTTTCCGTGCGTCATGCTAGGTGTCAGTTTTCTACTCTTCCGAGGGAACGCCACCGGGTCCCGCTGGCAGGGGGAGAGAAGCAAGTAGGGCCAGCCCAGGCGGGAGGAACTGAAGCTTCCAGCGATGCCCTCACTCAAGATGGCGGCGCAAGGCTCGCGCTTGGTCCCGTCAGGCGGCGCGCGTGCTTAGGTTGCATATGCGGCCAAGCGCTAGGGAAGGGGGCGGGTCCACAGAGGTAGAGGGACGCTAGCTTTGCGGCCCGGCCAGGAGTCTTCGTCGCCGCGGCTCCCGCTGCTGTCACCGTTACCACTCCCGGATTGTGGAGGGGAAGATGGAGCCGGTCACCATCGCTACCGACAGCGGGGACCGGCCGGGGCCCCCGGCGGCCTCAGGCCTGTCGGCTTCCCAGCGTCGGGCCGAGCTGCGGCGGAGAAAGCTGCTCATGAACTCGGAACAGCGCATCAACCGAATCATGGGCTTTCACAGGCCGGGGAGCGGCGCCGGTGAGAACCTCCGTTTCCCCAGTCTCCTGCCCATCCCTTTGAGTCTTTGGGATCATTCTTCCTTTCTCTTCTCCACCCTGCTGACCTTTTTGACCAAACCCTGCTCTCTGACCTCCCCTCTGGCCCCGTCCCTTTGATGATATCCCCAGTTCTCATTTCTTAACCCCTCGACGTTTCTAGTCTCTTTCCTCAGTTTTCCGGGGGCTCCGCCCTTAGGTTGTCTCCACCTCCGCCGCGGGCTGCGAAACTCTCGCTCCTGAGACCCTCTGCCCTGGTGCCCTCTGCCCAGTTACCCTGAGACGGCCCCCTTCCTCCTTCCCCACTCCCTCGCCTCTCTTGAAGTGCACACATTTTATCCCTAGACTGCTCTGTCTATTGTGCCCGTCGGGAAGATTGCCTGCCTTTATTTCCTTTCCAAATGCTTTCCCTTCCAGTGCCTTCCCTGGCTTGTACCTTCTTTTGCCTTTTGCTGTAACTCTGTCGGCCTGCATGAGCTTGTCTTTACTGAACTGCCCCCTGGTTCTTCCTACGTGGATCAGAGACTCTTACGGTTAAATCCTAGTGTCTGTGTTTGGTGCTCTCCACACTGTCATCTACAGGCCTTCTTAAACAGGTGAAAAAAATTGGAGGGACCATTCTTTAGAAACCCAACAAGTGGGACGTGCCCATCTGAGGCCTTATCTCCTAGTGTGCTGAGATTGATGTGAGTGATGTCAGGAACTGCATTTAACACTGATGAGAGCTCCTCATTTCTCCCCCAGTGACATGTACAATGAGTTTCTTAAGATTTTTTTTCATGTGAATATTTACTGAACACTCAGTATGAGCTAATGTTCTCTAAATTTCCATTGAGCGTTGCCTTTGATATTTGCCCTTTAGTCACTGATTGCATGTTCCTTAGATCCTTGTGACTTCTGCTCTGTGGGGCTTTAGATATATAGCTCTGAACTTTTAGACAGTTTACAGGTTTGCGACTGAAAACTACCAAGAGAGGTAAGAGCCCTATTTCAAATTCTAGAACAATCGTTAGAAGACACATTTTCCCCTTTAATGATTAATAGTAGAATATTTATTCTTTCCTAAAGCTTCTACTTTGTTATTTTGCTTTGAAATTTTTATTTTATCTGTCATTAAAGGTTTTTTTTCCCCCTTTGTTTTGTTTTAAACCGGAACAGCATCCTAAAACTGCTTAAATACCGGCTAATGGCTGCCAGATTACAGTAGAAGGATTACGTAAACCGTAGCTGTAGTATATGCCACACCCTATGCTGACAGGACTCTGGATTCAGAAATGTAATATTAAAAATACAGATTTTAAAAAATCTCCATCCCTGTCTTTCCCAATTTGTATAATAGCGTTATCTTCTACCCCCAAAGTTTGGGGTATATCCTCTGAAGGAATTACTCTTTTTGACATTTTGAGTGTGTACAGGAAGGAACTAGTTTGTCTTATGAAGAATCAGTATTAAATTCAGAGGCTGTGAAGTTCTAGCTCTAGTGGCATATTTTTAAATACTAATAAGAAAGGTGTTTGCCAGTATGTAATACTTAAGGCTTCTAAATTTCTTTTCTCAGAAGAAGAAAGTCAAACAAAATCAAAGCAGCAGGACAGTGATAAACTGAACTCCCTCACCATTCCTTCAGTTTCAAAGCGAGTAGTGCTGGGTGATTCGGTCAGTACAGGAACAACTGACCAGCAGAGTGGTGTGGCCGAGGTAAAGGGGACTCAGCTGGGAGACAAATTGGACTCTTTCATTAAACCTCCTGAGTGCAGTATTGATGTAAGCCTTGAGCTCCGGCAGCGCAACAGAGGAGACCTGACAGCAGACACTGTCCAGAGGGGTTCTCGCCATGGCCTAGAACAGTACCTCTCCAGATTTGAAGAAGCAATGAAGCTAAGGAAACAGTTGATTAGTGAAAAACCCAACCAAGAGGATGGAAATACAACGGAAGAATTTGACTCTTTTCGAATATTTAGATTGGTGGGATGTGCTCTTCTTGCCTTTGGAGTCAGAGCTTTTGTTTGCAAATATTTGGTAAGAAACAGTGGAAAATGCAAATTGATTATAATAATGAGTGCTTTTGTAAGATTCATTACCAACAGTAACTTAATATTTACCAGATTCATGTGGATGTTTGGAGATGTGTTATAAACTGCTATTTGCCTTAGGTATAGAATGAGGTGTTCTGGTTAAATACAGAGCCTAATAATAATTGCTAAAATCTTTCTACATGCTAACATTCTAAGTGCTTTACATATATTAATTCATTTAACCCATCCTTATGAACCAGGTATCATTTTTTTAACATCTTTATTGGAGTATAATTGCTTTATAATGTTGTGTTAGTTTCTGCTTTATAACAAAGTGAATCAGCTATACATATACATATACCCCCATATCCCCTCCCTCTTGCGTCTCCCTCCCACCCTCCCTATCCTACCCCTCTAGGTGGTCACAGAGCACCGAGCTGACCTCCCTGTGCTATGTGGCTGCTTCCCACTAGCTATCTGTTTTACATTTGGTAGTATATATAAGTCCATGCCACTCTCTCACTTCGTCCCAGCTTACCCTTCCCCCTCCCCATGTCCTCAAGTCCATTCTCTGTGTCTGTGTCTTTATTCCTGTACTGCCCCTAGTGAACCAGGTATCGTTTGAATCTGTTTTATAGATGAGGGAATGAAGACTCAGAGAGGTGAAATCATTTGTCCAGGGTCACACTACTAAGTGACAGCTGGGATTAAACCCAGGCACTTTGATTACAAAACCAAAGGGTAAATTACCTACATATATAGAGATATAAATTACCACTTTTCAAATTTGAAATATTAAAACGCAGTTCCTATGGTCCTGGATGTGATGTAATTTTTTTATGGTTCAGAAGGCATTCTGCATTTTATAGTGTAGTATTATCATAGGAGCAGTCCATTTTTGTTGTACCTTCATATGCCATGGCTGTTCAGTGAAAGTTGGGATTTATTGGTCCTTTTGTTTCATAGTATGTGGAAGAAAGAAGGAAAGCATAACAGTGTCTTGCTCTTTCAGGTGTTTCCATTCAGTAGACATTTTAAGAATACCTACCAAGTACCAGCCACATAAGTAAATTTTCAGATAATTAAGGTTTATGTTATTAAGAAAAAAAGTTATTATTATTATTATTTTAAAAATTTATTTATTTTATTTATTTATTTTTGGCTGTGTTGGGTCTTTGTTGCTGCACGCGGGCTTTCTCTAGTTAGGGCGATTGGGGGCTACTCTTCGTTGTGGTGCTCGGGCTTCTCATTGTGGTGGCTTCTCTTGCTGCGGAACACAGGCTTCAGGCACGTGGACTTCACTAGTTGTGCCTCGCGGGCTCTAGAGTGCAGGCTCAGTAGTTGTGGCTCATAGGCTTAGTTGCTCTGCGGCATATGGGATCTTCCTGGACCAGGGCTCGAACCCGCGTCCCCTGCATTGGCAGGTGGATTCTTAACCACTGTACCACCAGGGAAGCCCAGAGAAAAAGTTTTTAAAAGTCTGTTTTTTTTAATGGAAATTCCCATCTTTTTAAAAAAAATTAATTAATTATTTTTTGCCTGCATTGGGTTTTTGTTGCTGCACGTAGCCTTTCTCTAGTTGTGGCAAGTAGGGGCTATTCTTCTTTGTGGTGTGCATGCTTCTCGTTGCGGTGGCTTCTCTTGTTATGGAGCATGGGCTCTAGGCACACGGGCTTCAATAGTTGTGGCACATGGGCTCAGTAGTTGTGGCTCGCAGGCTCAGTAGTTGTGGCACACAGGCTTAGATGCTCCACGACTCCGGGATCTTCCCGGACCAAGGCTCGAACCTATGTCCCCTGCGTTGGCAGGCGGATTTTTAACCACTGCGCCACCAAGGAAGTCCCTAAAAATCTGTTTTTGTTTGTTTGCTTTCGTTTCTGTTTTTACGGTACGCGGGCCTCACTGTTGTGGCCTCTCCCATTGCAGAGCAACAGGCTCCGGATGCGCAGGCTCAGCGGCCGTGGCTCAGGGCCCAGCCGCTCCGCGGCACGTGGGATCTTCCTGGACCAGGGCACGAACCCGTGTCCCCTGCATCGGCAGGCGGACTCTCAACCACTGCGCCACCAGGGAAGCCCTAAAAGTCTATTTTTATGCCAGTTTTTTCTTAAAGATAATTTGTTGAACAGATTCGATTTTTTTTTTCCTGATGATAAATTGGCATCATAGCTTTCAGCGTTTAGTGAGATGTATAGCTACTTTTTTTGTCTTATCTAAAGGGCTCTGTACTTCAATGCTTTTAAAATTATGTCCTATTTTTGTGCCTCATTTTGTGTGAGCTTTTTTGGCTTTCTGGGTGTTTTTTTGCTGTCAGATTTTCAGCTATTAATCACTGCTCTCACTATTCTTTTTTTTTTTTTTTTTCCCTTTTTTGCGGTACGCGGGCCTCTCACTGTTGTGGCCTCTCCCGTTGCGGAGCACAGGCTCCGGATGCGCAGGCTCAGCGGCCATGGCTCACGTGCCCAGCCGCTCCGCGGCATGTGGGATCTTTCCGGACCGGGGCACGAACCCGTGTCCCCTGCATCAGCAGGCGGACTCCCAACCACTGCGCCACCAGGGAAGCCCTACTCTCACTATTCTTTCATCTAGTAATATTTGCTCCTTCACTCCCTATTTTAACTTTAGAAATAAATGTAAATTAGGTATTATTTTGATCTTTTCTGTTTTATTGTGTGAGAAGTGAGATAACCAAGCCATTTTATCTATAATAAAAACACCTCGTCATTTGAGGGCCAGAGATGAATTCATTTCTTGCCCTGAAGTGTGAGTAAGGTATGTATGGCATCTCTTTTGAGTATTGAGCCTTTTAGGTATGCTTTCAAACTGTCAGTTAATTACCTCTAGATGAGAGAGATGTTACTGCATGATATTATACATCAATCACCGCTGAGAAGTTAGCTTTTAAATTATTTAAAAGATAAGTTTTTAAGAGAGAGGGAATTTGGGGGGATGTTGAAAGAATGTGACTTGACTTGAGAAACATGTTTTATGTTAAGGAAATGAAATCTCTTTATTTTTGTCACTCTTTTGCAGAAACAAGAATCCTTTCAGCCACTAAAATTAAATATTTTTTTACAGTTTTTTTGCTTGGAATTTTATAACTGCTGTTAGTTTGATTTATTGTGATTTGAATGATTATGTTGGAAATACGTAACTTTATCTTTTGTCTTCACAGTCCATATTTGCTCCATTTCTTACTTTACAACTTGCATACATGGGACTATACAAATATTTTCCTAAGGTAAATTAAAATTTTTTCTGAATTATGGTGATATATTTAGATTGATTAGCAACTAGATGATTTTAAGAACTTAAAATTATTTATACTTATGGTCTGAATCAGTGCTATTCAAAGAGTGATTGGCTCACAAGTGCAGATCTTCAAACTATTTGTTTCTGTTTGTAATAAGTTCAGTTCAGAAAGTGAGTAATTAGAAACTTGTATAGCAATATGACATTGCCATAACATTTTTATCATATTTTACAAAAATGTTGGTCCACCATGGAATAGGGGAAAACCCTCATGACAGAGTTTGAATAGTACTTGTCTAAGAAAGTGTTCAACTTAGTTACTTAGTAAATTTAGTAATACATTTTGTTTTTAACAAAGGAAGTTATTTTTAAAATGGGTTCAGTTATCTTACTGTGCTCCTTACTGAACACTTAATGACAGTACACTTTATCTTTAATGCCAAGGGTCTGATATTTGTAAGAAATATTTGGCCATACTCACAGAGCAGAATCATGGGGAGTATCAGTGTTTATCTGGTCAGCTTGACTCCAATTATACTATACAGTTTTATGGAACTTGCCTTGCCAGTAGAGAAGATAACCTTACTCGTGTAATTGAGTTATTGTGTGAGATTTTTGCTGAAAAATGGCTACTTGTTTGCTTAGTCATTTGTAATGCACTGATAGATCTCATATGTGTGTTTAATGGGTTTGAAACATATTTTTGAGGGGTCAAATCGACAAAGTAAAAGAGCAAAGAAAGGTATGTAATTTAATTTATTTATTATTTTATTTTTAAAATAAATTTATTTATTTATTTTAGTTATGGCTGCTTTGGGTCTTTACTGTGTGCGGGCTTTCTTTAGTTGTGGTGGGTGGGGGGCTTCTCTTCATTGCGGTTCGCAGGCCTCTCACTGCGATGGCTTCTCTTGTTGCGGAGCACCGGCTCTAGGTGCGCAGGCTTCAGTAGTTGTGGCATGCAGGCTCAGTAGCTGTGGCTCTTGGGCTCTAGAGCGCAGGCTCAGTAGTTGTGGCGCACGGGCTTAGTTGTCCCGCGGCATGTGGGATCTTCCTGGACCAGGGCTCTAACCCATGTCCCCTGCACTGGCAGGTGGATTCTTAACCACTGTGCCACCAGGGAAGCCCTGTAATTTTATTTTTTAATTAAAACTTTTTTTATGGTATAGATGTATATTCATTGATCCCCTCCAAAAATGTAATTTTAATTAAAGCATTTGTTTAGAAATTTACCCTTGAAACATTGATTTTAGCTTTGCAATAGCAAAAGTTTGGAAACAACCTAAATGTCTACTGATAAGTGATTAGTTAAAAAAAATTATGGCCTATCCATTCAGAATGATAAAGGTCTCCATGTACTGATAGTGTTAAGCTCGCCAAGAAATATTAAGATATAAAAATACAGAATAGCATCTATAGTATACTACTTTTTTTTGTAAAAAGGAGGAAAATCCTATGTATTTCATTTTGCTTGTATATGTGTAAAGAAACTCTGGAAGAATATTACATGAAATTTTTAACAGTGGTTATTTGTGCTAGAGTGTGTGTCGGTTACTAGGTAAATAGGGAGAGAAAAGGAAGGGAGATTACTATATAATTTTCTTTCAACAAAACATTTTGTTGTTAACAGGTTTCAACAGAAAAGTTGAAAGAATTGTGCAGTGAACACCCGTTTATGCTTACCACCTAGATTCTGTAGTGAACATTTCATTATATTTATCATATATTCACCCAATTTTCTATCCATTTTCAATACATCTTTTTTTAATACATCTTTTTTTCTTGATGCATTTCAAAGTATGTTGTAGATGAAGACATCAGTATATTTTACCCCTACACATTTCAGTTTATATATATATATATATATATATATATATACAATTCAGTGTTTATGGTTATTTTTCGTTATTTTGAGGTAAAATTTTCATACAGTGAAATGCTCAAGTCTTTATTATACCATTTAATGAGTTTTGACAACCCGTGAAACCCAAATCCTTTAAGATTTAGAACATTACTGTCAGGAAGTTCCATCATGTCCTTTTCCAGGCAGTCCCAGCCCCTGCACCATGAAGGTCTGATTTTCTTTTTCCCACTGTAATTAGTTTGGGTTGTTTTAGTACTTATTTTAAATGGGATTGTTCCTGTATGTACTTCTTTGTGCAAGGCTTCTTTCATTCAGCATCATATTTTTGATATTCATCCATATTGTTGAGTGCCTAAGTAGTTCATTCTCTTTCTCTCTCTCTCTCTTTTTTTTTTTCCTGAGTAATACTCCATTGAGTGAGTGTATCCATTAATTTGTCTAATTACCTATTGCTGGATGTCTTGGTTGTTTCCAATTTTTGGTTAATATGTCTAAAGCAACAAAGAACTTTCCTGAGTGGGTTTTTTTGTGGACATAGGCTTTGATTTCTCTTGGGTAACTATAGCTTTTTATATTTAAAATGTTTTGAACCATGTGATTGGATTTGGTGATACCAAATCAATAAATTAAATGAAAATTCAGCCTTGAATCTCTTAAAGAATGAGACTAGAAAATTAGGAAATAAATGTTCAGTGATATTCTGCTGCATATGTAAACAAATGTGAATTCGTTTGGATGACAATTAGGGCTGACTCTACAGAATGTTCCTTTGATTCTGTTACAAATTATTCACTGTCCTCCAGTACACCTATCACTCTTCTGACTTTTGTTGTCATGAGACTTAACCTTACAATAAGATTTATCTTCTCACTTTTGCTCATCTTAATCTTGCTCATTCTTAAAGGCCTGTTTTTAATTCCTCTTCCTTCTGAAATCCTTCCCTGTGTTTTACTTATATGTAAAACCCTGGAATAATTTCTGTCTCCTGTGAGCCACTATAGCACACGTCATCCATGTCATTCATTTAGCAATTATTTATGTCCTGTCTGGTAATGCTTTTCCTGTTTTTGTCTTGAGCTTTTGTATGTATCTTAAATTATTATTTATATCTTGCCTCCAAGATAAGACTTTTTTTTTTAAACTTTTGATATAGCAAGAATGGTGTCTTTTCCCTCTTGCCAAGCAGTTTGCTGCTTTACATATTATATGCTCAGTAAATGTTTCTTCATATATTATTGATTGATATTTTGAAACTTCATTAACAGTTTTGAAATCAGTTAGGCAAAAGTAACAGCACTGATGTTTTTATAGAGCTTAAGTAGTCTTCTGAAAGCTGTAAGATTTATTGAAGTCTTTCTCTATGCAGGGTGAAAAGAAGATAAAGACAACAGTATTAACAGCTGCGCTTCTGTTATCCGGAATTCCTGC